CTGTTTTGGTTGTCAGTGAGATATGAGGAGTGGAGGAGGATGGTGGTGATGATCACAAACAGTCACTGTTTCAACAACAAGGATGCTAACCGATAACATGGAGCAGAAGTCGAGGCACCATCAATGGAGGATGAGGACCAAGAGGAGGACAGTGAAGAATAGGACCGTCTGACCAAGCTGAGCTGTAACTGTGAGTTAGCCTCAAAAAGCTAAAGGTAAGCTACTTCTCTTATGGGCTAATGTCAACAACAGCTAGCAGGAAGCTGCCAGCCATTGTATTCTGTTTCCCAAGAAATGTCAGCTGAATCTGCTTTACAATAAGTATTCAAATCAAGCAGTGTGGTGGTCATTTTTGCTTCCAGTTAAATGATTTTGAAAATATAAATTTGTAAAATTGTTGTTGTTTTGGATTGTTTACTTTTGTGTTTGCTAGTTTGGTTCAATGTCATTTACAAACTTAGTTGTGCTGACTTGCACATTAGTAACAGTTCAATTAAATCCTCAGGATATATGAATAATGTATTTTACAGTTTATAGAAACTTGAATACCATCTAGGCCTGCTATAACCATACATGTAAATATAACTATATCAGAACTTATAGGCCTAAACCTTTTGCTACAATCACATCTGTGAGACCCACAAATTACTACTTACCACTTAAATAAATTACGAAGTGAGCGGGCTACTGTTGGTTTGGGTCAGGGAGGTCAGAGCTGTTATCTTTACAAGGCACATTAATTACTGAGGTAAAATGGAAAAAATCTGAGCCCCTGATAAACCAACTCTATATCGTGTGTGACAGCTTAAACCTAAACTTTATCTAAAAAAAAAAAGTGAGTAAACTGAGCTAGTGTGCAAGATAAGTTACTTGTTTTTATTTGAAACTACATAAAACATCGCTTTGAGATTGATTTACCGAAAAAAAGAGCACATGAAAAAAAGAGGAGGGAGCCAGGTCATGAGCTGATTTCATCCCAGTAAACATGTCAGGATTTGTATACGTAAGTGGAAATGAATAAGTCTGATGTTTCCTGTTAATTAGTTCAGTGCTGTGTGCGCGCTACACTGTGTTTCATAAACTTGCAGAGTCTGATTCACAGTGGCATGAAAGTGAAACTATTGTTTGTGCAGCAAATTGGGGCCACTACTGAGAACATTTATACATTTCTCTCTTTACAGTTGAACATATTAATGTGCTTGGGGTTGGTATTGCATTTTAAAGATTTTTCATTTTATTATGATACCACTGGTTCTGGATCAAAATGACTCGGGTTGCATCTGAGACTAAAAAGGGTGCAGCTAGTAACTGGCAACAGCAATGGAGAATAGCATAGGTGTTATGGGTCCCTCGTGTGGTCCCCAGGTCACGTGCACCTGTCATGACCATCAGACCATGAATGTTATAAACACAATCTGGTATTATAAAAACACAAAGCTATCCTCTTTTTTTGCATCCATTTAATTGAGGGTACAGAAATGTGAAATGATGATGCAATGTAATCTTTTGTACCCTCGTAGAACTGGGCCTGCTTATAGCGGATCTAAAAGTCACTTAATAAGGATCTAGAGTGAAGGTTCGTCAATCATTTACATGTTGAGAACACAGTATTATAAAGAGGGAATGCCACTAAAGAATTTTACTTGTGGAAATCCAGCCAAGACTTTTGGAAAAAATACTTGAACATGTGAAAGTAGTCCATACTGTGTTAACTTGAACATGAACAAATACATACAAATAAGCTTGTAGGGCTAAGAGAGAGGGGCCCAAAGTTTCCAGAAGCTATGCTTAAAATGAAAGTTTACATCTCTTGTTGGAAAGTCATCGATGCACCACAACTGATTACAAGGAGACACAAAACAAACGCACAAGGACACAACAAACGGGACACAACATTACCAAAACTCAAAAGGAGACAAAAACACACTGCTGCAAAACTACCACAAAAGCCTAACTAAAAAGAACTGGAAAACAAAATGACTACAACGAGATCCAAATCAACTGCAGAGACTTCCCAGAAAAACTACAAAGAGCTGGAAAACAACTAAGAATTGCAAAACAATTCAATAGGAGTCAAAATTATTTTGGGGATAAAATGACTGAAATTAGAAAGACTACTAAGAGATGCAAAACAACAACAAAGAGACAAAACACAGCTACTAAGACATACGCAAACTCGCATTAAGACTCACAAAATGCATACAGATGACAACACTGCATGGTGTTGTATTACTGTATGTAAGATGTGGGATGTTTGAATGCGTGTGTCTGTTAGTCGTGTCCTGTTAATCCTGTTTTATGATTATTCTTATGTGTTGTAATGGTTGCATTGTCACTATGTAAAGTCTGTTGTGAGGACCCCAGGAAGAATAGCTGTTGTAATGCTGCAGCTAATGGGCATCCCAATAAACTAAACTAAACTAAAATTTGTACTGTAAGTGGTCTGTGCATGACGCCCATGTCTTCTAATCCATTCATCATGTCTCTCTCATTGTACCAGCTCTCTATACCATTCATTAGGAATGCAACTTCTTTGTTTACCATAGCTACATTTTCACAGCTCGCTGTGGGTTTGGTCAAGTGTAAAAGCTGTGTAAAAAAAACCCTCTGCCAGATCTTCATGGCATTATAACTGGATTTTATATTTAATAGCCTGCCTTTTATCCGACTGTCCCTGTTCCTGCCAGTTTTCTCAGACACGCCTCCATGAGCTCACCAGCCGCAGGACTGTGAGACGTCTGTGAAAGCGTTTCTAAATGAAGAAACAACAGAGGCTAAAGCAGGCATATGGAAAAGATATAAAATCATTTATTTTAGTAGATCTGACTGGAATAAGAGTCAGCTGACTGGCTGCTGTTGGCTTGTTACATAATCCCAACCTGATATCCAGTTACGTTTTTTTATTTAAGGAGGTTATGCACATTTTACCTTAAATGGAAACTATGAACTCAATCCATTGTGAGCACTGTTTTAAATGGTGAATAAGTGAATCATTTCACACCATTCATCCATCCATTAATACAACCAAATTCTAGCTGTTTGCACTTTTCCTACAGTGACAGCCAGGAAATCAGAGCACAGCAGCCCAGATGTGTTATTTTTCCAGCAGTTTTTTAGTTTTTCCATAAGCGTCTGGTGGTGCCCAAAGTATTTTCATACGTAGACATCTGGGTGCAAGAACCACATCAACTACAGCTCAACTTCTCTTGTCAAAGATATGAAACCAGTGACTCAGGAAAGACTGTCAAACTGTGTTTAATTCAGTCACTTTAGATCAGCCTTCTCATTCCTTTGATAACTAGCAAATCTTCAGTGTGACAGAGGATAGATCCTGTATCTGATGTGTCTTTAAACTTTGAATATACCTTAAAGAGAATACCTTCATCCAGATGCGTCTTAAATACATATAACGTGTTGTGATATTCAGTTTAAAGCCCTGGTCACACTTGGTATTAACGTGCCTGGACACTCTGTAGTACATTAACACCAAGGACACATTGAAGATTACACAAGATTCGATCACTAAGGCCACATAAGGAGGTAATCTGGGACACATCTGTCAACACTGGTCTGGCAGTGTGTACAACATGTGTCCTGTGCCACATTGAAGGACCACCCAGTAACCCTGTATCCATGACAACAATAACAACCACTGAGGTGAGTGGTCTGTTGGGAACACCAGTAACAAACACCAGTAACAGCTAAAAAGGAATTGAGCTTTTATTTGTGACTGTTCAAAATAGTTGACAAAAAATATACCACGACACAGGCCCAGTGTGCAACTTTCTGCTAACAATCTCAGAATGTGCAATTAGAAATCTGGCTTGATTTGTAGGTAAAGTCATTTGAGGATCACATATTATGCAAAAAAAACACTTTACCGTGTTTTTCGGACACTCTTGTCTTTCTACAAACTCCCCAATTGTGAGAAAAGTCCATCCTCTACATCTTTTGCCTGCTCCACTTTTCAGAAAATGTGTGCTCAAATAGGACGTTTAGAGATTTTCCCTTTGTGACATCACAGAGAGCAGTAAACCCCTCCCCCAGATGGTCAAACACAGCTGACCTGTGTTTAAAGCTACAGAGACAGTAGCAGCTTGTTCTTAGTTGGGCTGAAATAGAGGGGTTTATGGGCATGCTAAAATACAGGATCAGGGTGGATTTTTAGTGAGAAATGAGAAACAGACATGTTTTGGGGGCCTCAAAACCTTTTTAAACTTGTTGAAAAGGAGTATGTGTGACCTTTAAAGAGGACATATTATACCCCCTTTCCACCTTTTCAAACAGTCCCCTGTGGTCTAAATCTGTGCTGTGCTTTGGTCAAAATATAACATGAATCAAGCACCAGAGGAGGTTTGTGACTCTCTAAACCAGCTCTCTCAGAATGCTACGTTTTGGTGTGTGTGTCTCTTTAAATGCAATGAGCCCCCCCCTGAGTTTTTCCGGAAGACATCAATCCTCTGTAGCGAGATTAAAAAATGGCAGACCTGCACAAAAGTTTTGTTCTAGGCTGGGGGTGGAGTCCATGGGTGGAGATATCAAGGGAGGGGAGGGTATTTTTTTTAAATACCAGAATCCAGCTTGTGACATCACAAGCTGAGCAAATTTGAAACTGAGCATTTTTCTCGGTGTTGTTGCTTATGCAGCACTACAAACAAAGGACTGGATGGGTTTATTTCACATTTTGTGGGTCAGTAGACACTCAGGTTACCCAAATAATCTTCAAAAACACTGTAAAAGTGGATTTTTCATGATATGTCCCCTTTTAAGAGTGAAAGAAACAATTGTACAAACATTAGATCACCTGCTCTTCTTACCTTTAAATGTATATAGACACAATAGCGATATTGATCCTCTTGTACCTTTCATCAAAAAGACAAAAAGGAATTTTTTCCCAACATGTTGCACCAGTCCTTTAACTGTCATTCGTACTTTAGAAAACCAGGAAATGAAACTGTAATCTTCAAAGGAAATCAGACGTTGAATGCTGTATGTGTACATATATATCTCTGTGTTTAATGAATATTCATTCGCAAAATATACAAACTGGCAAAACACATGAGGGAGTGTGTCAGCCAAAGGGCTTTGTACCCATTTAAACTGTGGATTAGATCAGAATGAAAGTTTTACATCAGGCAAACGCTAAAATGCAAGTTTATAAAACATATATTGGCACATCACAATGCTTTACCAATTGGTCTCAATTTGTTTGAGACAAGTGCATACATTGCTTGGCACCAATGTGATTTTAATCGTCAAAGCTGTGCTTGTTACACTATGAAATCATTATTTGGACTGAAAACAAGTCAAAGTTCAATGCAAATCATTTTTGAGGAAACAGACTTCCGTGTTGAAAGATTTGCTTTGCGGGTGTTGCTGCAGCCTCTAAAGGCAACACATTGAAGTCACTTTAATCCTTACTTTGCTCGGACATCAGTAAACAGACACAAAGTGAGAAAGTCTTTCATGTCTCCATCCTGAGTTTGAATCCTTCTACTTGGGCTTGGATTCATCAGTGGTCGTCCTGATTAGGACGCGGTGGAGGGCGTGACGGAGGAGGGGCTCTGCATGGAGCTGGACCCTGAGGTGGAGGCGGAAGGGTGCCAGTCGGTGATGGAGGTGCGTAGATCGGGCTCATGTTGGGGGGCAGTGATCTGTTCGGAGGGGGAGTGTACATGGGAGGGCTGGTGGAGGATGGGGGAGGAGTGGACGGCAGAGGGGGGAGTGTTGAGGTTGGCGAAGGCGGCAGATGGTAGAGGTTGCTGTCGTCTGATGGACGGCGCTGATAACAGTGGGGTAAGGTGTAGACAGGCGTGGAGGGGTGGTTGTAGATGGGGTAGCGGGGAGCAGGGTAGGATTTGGTTCGGGTGAAGGTTATGCACCGGCCCTGTGAAAAATAGAATATGGTAGTTTAGTGCAACATAACTCACCCCGGGTTGTTGTTGGGTTTTTCTTGCACCATTTCCCCCTCCCATTACAGATTACAAAACCTAGACTGAAGTCCTCTGATAACTGAGTGATACAAACATAAACGCATATACAGTACACAGAAACTGAAATCAGATAGTTGGCATCGACCGGTTTTCATCAGACTGAATTCAAACACAAGAACACTGCATAAAATGTGTGACGGGGAAATATTTATTGGTAACACAGCTTTGATTGACTCTCTGTTAGCACGGCACTTTTGTGTTTTTAATAGCAAAAGTCTGTTTTGAACGAACTTTTTATTACCTGCATTGGATAGTGCTTTACCAATAAAGTATTATTTTTATTGTTATATCCATAGTGGCCAACAAGGAAAAATAGCTGCAACGGCCCAAAAGATATATTAGTAAAAAAAAGCTGCAACTTCAGAGTTGATACCACATCAAAAATGTATCCAAAAGTCTAAAACAAATACAACAATGTGAACATGATGTGGATGCATTCTCTACATGAAAAAGAGAAAACAATTGAAGACAGCAAGTGGCTATAAATACAAAAACAATGCAAAATCAACAACACTTAAACCCATCAATTACATTTAAAAACCACCTGATGTATATCCACTCATCACAGCAGAAGTGTTCCATGCATTAAATGAGTGATACTGGAAACTGGATGTGATGATTCAAATGTAAAATATTGGAAAAACAAGATTTTGGCTATATGGGGGGGTGGCTTACTTGTTTTTGTTTGCAGCTGGTTTGCAGTTGCCTGTAGATATTTGACCTGGTATCACTTTTCTTTTCTGCTCTAAACCAATTGTAACTTGTTGCAGCCGTATTATATATTATTGCTATTCTTGCAATATATTATGGTGTTGATCTTGCATTGACAGGCGTACTTGCCAATACTCCATAATGCATTCCAGGCTGAATAATAAGCGGCTTTTCAGATACTGGCATTGGTATCTGAACAACACCGGGGTTTTATGAGGCTTCTTTCATTGATTAACGATCTGTAAAGATCATAAACAACAGCTTGTTCCATAAAACTTCTAAACCTGCACATGCATTGGTAGGTTCAGAAGTTTACAGCTTTCAACAAATGCAAAGAGGAAATGCCTCTGTCAGTAAGAATTCCTGCGTGACCAGCCGCTCCGACTCTGCGAGCTCGAGCAGACAGGCAGCATCTTCGTCTAATGACTTCTGCAGACAAGAGCATTCCTCCAGACAATACTGAAGCTTTCACCTTTGTCTGCTCTCCATGCTTCACAACAGTTTCCTTGAAGTCATTTCTCTCAAGATTTAGAGTGGCTTTGATATTTGTGAAGTTCTTAAACTTCTGTCTGCCAAAGACTGACAAAGTTGCTTCATAATCTTATTAAATGCTTTTTTTATTTTTATTCATTTGTTCTCATATTCCAGCAATAAAAACCTGATGACGTTGGTTGTTTTTTTTGCTCCCAAGAGGAAGTCATTATGTCACACTTTGTCATTTTTTAATTTCTGATATTTCTGTCTCACCTTGTCTCCAGGATGAGGTCGCATCACAGACACTCGGTCATAGCCTTTTCTCAGGAGTACACACAAAGCATCTAGTTTACCCTGTAGGAAAATGATTCAAGATGTTAGGACAAATACAAAATCATCCTGATTTCATTTAGAGTCCTATAATGAATTTTGTTATGCACAGCAAGAAAGATCCTTTAAAAAAACAAAGATATTAAATGAGCAGGGTTTATTCTGACTTGGTTTGGATGAGAGACAACAAAGAGTGTATTTTGTTAGTAATAACAGACCCATAGTCAGGGGGTTAGCTCAGTTCATGTCTGGTTCTTATTACCATCGATCCAGCTGACGAATGTGTTCGGAAACTAATATTTATTAACTACTTCCTGGTAACAAGCCGTCATTCAAAACACTAAAAATGAAATATTTTGTAGCTTATCACAATTGACACCATCGTCAGGAAGATGTTTAAATACCAGAGCTAGTTTCAAAACATCTGGAATACACATCATGCAGCATATAACACAAGTTAGACTTATGGGAAATACAAGTGATGACATAAGTGCATCCCTTTTACAACTGAACAAAGTGAAGAGAAATAAGAGAAGTGTTTGAAATTGTTTCAACATAGACAGAATTTAGAAACTCTTTCTGAATGATGAAGTGAATTAACTTAAAAAGCACCTTGATGGGAGAGTACCACTTCTGAGGGCTGATGGATTTGTGTGTGTGGTAGTAAGGCCGAGGATCATACTCGTACTCCTCTGAAGGCATCACAACGCGAGCGTTTTTAGCTTTTTCCAGTTTGGCTCCTTCTTCCGTTGAGCCCTTATCTCCCCATCGAACCTGAAATGAAAGAACAGCTTGTCAGCACTGTGCTGCAATGAGTGGCAAAGAGAGGCATTCATTCATTCATATTTGGTTACATTAGCTGCAGCTGTGTTAAAGGTTATTTCAAGCCATGTCAGCATTATTGCTCCAGCTTCGCTCTTCCTATAATGACCGGACTGAAATATCTCAAACTGTGTGCAAACCTTTTTTGTTCCCTGAGAGGAGGATCTGTAAAAACATTGGTGATTCGTCAACGTTCAAAGTGTTTTTACTATTACTAAATTCATATTCAAACATAAAAAAAAATATATATAAGTATATATATCATTAAATTCCCACCACCTTTGTCTGCATTAATGCTTATGAAAAAAAGTTAGCATACCAGCACACTAACATGATGATGAATATGGTGAACGACTAATGTACTTTTAACAATTAGCTCAAAGTATATAGAGCCACACAGAGCCTTTTGAGATAAGAAGATAATTTGATTACCTCAGCATGATGTTATGATCTGATTTGCGTTAACAATGTCAACTCCAGGAGAGCTAATTAAGTGTTTTTTAATTGTACAATCAGATGTTTGGAGCTTGTGTACAAATTGATTTTTAAAAAGGCCAAGTCCTCTGGAATCCAAGACAGAACAGAAGTCTCCTCTGAGTTCAACTGCCGAGTCAATTTATTTGACAAAGTTTCAGATAAGCAGAGTATCTGCTCAACCTCTGATGGATCATGAAGCAGTTTGTTTTGGTAACCTTTTAGCCTAAAGTTCATTAAGAGAACGGTTGCCTCAGATTGCTTGTCTTCTAAAAGATAAAGAATATTTCACCAAAGAAAAAACATTGTATTCATTGCTTAATGATCCACTTCAATTACAAAAGTAAATGTCAAAAACAATCCATCACATCACAGAGAGAAACCAGCACTGTCAAAACAACCATGAAAGTTCATTACTCAGATTTACTCCCTTGCAGCTGCCACAGACGAGCCATGAAGGCTTTAACTTGGCAGAGAAGGCACTTAAATGAGCAGTGCATATTTTCCATTGCTCTGTTTGGAAGCTTCAAGGCTTTGAGCTCAGACTGAACTTAAGACTGAACCACCAGTCTGTGAAGAGTATCACACAGAGAGGGGGACTTCTGTCTGCTTGAACTTCTTCCTCTGAGACAACAAACACATCTGATGCCTCTTTTAACTTGCAGATATCTCATTTCTGTTGTTTAACTCTTGAACCCTTTGTCTTTTTTTTCTTTACAAAGATAAAGCCTCTGGGTGGGACCACTAACTTTTCGGGGCTTCCGGTGTAGCCAGCAGTTATAGCAAAAGAGAACCTCTAACAATGATTGTTAGCACACGAACTAGCAGCTTGAGAAGCAAGAATGGATTGTTTAGCTGAACTTGCAGGCAGATGTCTTTTTAAGAGATTTCAATTAAAATATTTGTTTAATGTCTGCTGATGGATTCTAGGATTTAGCATAATCCTGCCTGATGTTGTGCTCTCCACATAGACTGCTCTCCTTCATATAATCTCTGTCTCTATCTGCATAGAAATGCAGATATCTAGAGTGTATCAGGGTTATATTTCGCTTTTGGAAGGGTTCTGTTTTCTCTTTTCGGTTTTTGGTTAGAGTAGTACTTTCCACCAGGATGCCACTGGTTGCCTGCAGGAAAACAGTCCGCATTAAGAGCAAAAAAAAGGCTCAACGCCATCTGCAGAAATGTTATTCTGGAACCCGTCACAGTCATTTTATGAGAATTTTGCTTAATCGAATGTCTTTAAACAGATTTCTGCTTACAAGTGCAGCTAACTATCTACTCTCAGATGTTTGTTTCTCAACGTCAACTTCTTTTTGGCCTCTCATATTACAAGACTGTAAACAATGTCAACGCAGGAGAAAATAAATTAAGTCCAGAAGTCCTTCATTGCTATTTGTTCAGATGCTGTATTGTTGTCAAACGATAGCAAAAGTCCTCAGAGATTGTCAGTTAGGCCAATACCTGATTAAACGCTGGTGGCATAACTACTTTCTTTGCATTTTCATTCAAAATATGGGCGATGACCTCTTGTGAACCAGACAGCTGTTCTCAAAATGATGTACCCCAACACTTTAATTACTGAATAGCCATCTTAATCTGCAAGAGACCTTTTGGTCTTTCTGTATGACTATGTCCTTCAATCTTCTTTTCATTAGAGATTATTCTTTAATTTTTACATTTCATGGGCAAATATCAAAGCTTTTGCCAATATTTCATTTTTTTAATCCCCATAAACAAATCATCCATGCATGACTTGTCTGCCAACAGTGTACACATCATTGACTCTGGGCCTGCAGAAAGTCCAAACTCTTGGCGTTCCTGAGCATTTGGTAGATTTGCTGTGCTTGTAGTTTACTGGCCAGTTGGCCTCATCTTAACTCTCACAGGCTCTACAAACTAACCGCCACAACAAAGTGACTCAGGCTCTTCCAGGATGGACTTGCATACTCATCTCTTTTTAAGGAGTCGCCTCCAGCTTCACTTTGTTTTCCGGCAGTACTTGTGTTTGATCTCGCTCCCATTTTTTAACAATTCCAGAAAAAAAAGAAAGCTGAGCACTGGATTCAAGGACGCCACGTGTTTTGGTTCTGTGAACAGTATGAACACTGGAATTATACAATATACCAATGTTTCAGTACTATAAGATAATAAATGGACTTGAGCTTGTTTAGAGCTTTTCTAGTCTTCTGACTACTCAAAGTGCTTTTACACCACAGGTCACACCTACACATTCACACACTGACCTTAGAGGCTGCTATGTAAAGTGTCCACCAGAAGTAACTCATCCCATTCATATGCATGCATATGCCGCCGCCAAAGCAGCGGGAGCAACTTGGTTTAAGTGTTTTGCCCAAGCACACATAGGACATGTTGCTGAAGGAGCTTGGGATCGAACCCTCAACCTTCCAGTTGAGAGACAACTGACTCTTTCAACTGAGCCACAGCCGCCCCACATTATATTCAATGAAATCATAGCTGGTCATCATGCTCTCTTTCTACCTCCATTCTCTTGATTCCTCCAACTCCACGTCCTCCGTAGTACGAAGCATCGACAGTTGGCCAACGCTTCTTGGGAAAACCATCCTCATCATCCTTAAGAAGAAAAAAAAAAGTATTCATGCTTACAAGACAAAATCAACAAGAAGAAAATGTAGAAGAAAAATAAATGTGTTGATATTAACAATCGAGGTGAAGATGACTTGGTGAAGAACACTTACAGAGATGTCCTCCATGACTGGAGGGGGCGGCTCATGAATGACCTGCAAACAGAAAAAAAGCAATAGCATTTTTCATTGCATAACTTTTGTCATTGTGTGCTCTTCCCTATGAGATGATTCAAGATTGCTGTCATACCACGGTGCAACAAAGAGGCCAGAACCACCAAAGCAGAGCGATGGTGAGCAGGAGCAGCAGGATGAGCAGAGCTATGGCCACAAATTTCCCATCGGACTACGGGAGGAATCAGAGAAGGAGCACAGGCAGGGTGAGCTGTTATGAATATTACTGTATATGACTTCTGTCATGGCAAAATGTGCATTAACAACAAGAACAAAAACACCACATGAACACAAAATAACACCACAATTTGGACCAAGCGAGCACGCTAAATTCTTTAAGGTATAATGCACAACATACTTTAACCTCCTGCTGCCTTATGAAAACATAGTTTGTGAATGTCTAAATTATTGCTACAGAAATCTCTATATAATGTATTTTAGAGAATCCGTCAGCATTGAGATTGCCTCTGTCATGTCTTGAAGAGTATCTGCTAAGGTGAGAAATAGTCTCAGAGGAGAATGTGAATGACTTTGAATTTTTGCGACGTGTTGATAGAGTCAAGGTCACTAAAGGAACGCAGCAAAGTGAAGCAGCCGACCGAGCTGCTGCAGCTGCTGCAGGCGTGTGTGTCCTTAAAGTTTTCTTCAGAGAAGAATAAAATAAACAGATGCTGCACACAAGATACGGATCCAATAATGACAAATGTTTCTGTAATGCTAAGAATCTTTCGGACCCTCAGTTCATGTGAGAGAGGTTGGTCAAGAAGCAAATCCTTTAAACCAATCATGTAAAGACAGAAGTTCACACAAAAAAATACATAAAGTAATCATACCAGAAAAAAAATAATGAATGCTACAAAAATGAGCCATCACCAAACTTTACAGACATGCTAAAAAAAACCTAAATAAAAGCCTCAGACTTCAAGAATGCTGCTTTCCATGGCCATCTTGTTTTGATTGTACTTACACAGGTGACAGCAGTAATGGTGACGGAGCTTGATATGAAGCTGAGGCCGTTATTCATGCTGACGTGGAGAGTGGCAGTCCTGTAAGAAATGATACGACTTGATAAGAGCGCTTCAGTTTTTTGGTTGTGAATACCAGAAACATATTTCCTTTCCTTTTTAAGTTCATTAAACACAATGCAAAGATCACAAGTTGTACATACAGAATGTAGATACTTTAAAATTGTTTAGATCTTCAAACAGAGATCTCTGTGAGAGTAACAGCAACACTCACGTTCCCTCTTTTTCCAGAACAGGAGCTGGGCACAAAAGGTAAACATCTCTGACCACCAGAGGTCTTTTCACTGTGGAAACAGGATCAACATGCACATTTATCTTATGAAGTGCTGTAATTATGCGATTTCAGATAATGCTGAAGGTTGGTTGTTGAGTTATTCCACCAGTCCTGAAAGGAAATAAAAGCGTCCAAATATCTTTTTCATTATTAAATTCCTGGACTTCCTCTCCTTATGGAAAATGAAGCAAATGAGGAGGGAATGTGGTTTATTTAGCCTGGCTGAGCGAGTGTCTCCAGTTTATGCAAAGACAGTGTTGGTCCCTGATGAGATCCACAGTCCCCTCCAGACATCTGAGAGGCGTTGAGCGTTAAAGCAGCTGATTCTGAGCGGGGCTAGATGCTGCTGATGGTTTTTTGGGAGGACGGGGAGTTAAATCACTGTGAGCCACAAAGAGCTGCTCTCCCCCACCCCATTATTCACCGCCAAACCAAACTTGGCACAGTGGCGGAAACGGCTGCTGAGGGAAATACCAAAAGCTGCTGCTTTTCTATTCGGTCTAATAATAGTTAGAAACTTTTTATGTCATTTTTTGGTTTCACACGCCTACACATTTTTTGTCTTGAGCATTTTATTCCATGGTGTGGACAATCGAGGATCAAACAATTGCTCAAAACACACATTTACATTTGTCTATTAGCATAAAAATTGTGAATTTCACCTACCCTACCTCCCTGTTTCTAAGTTGTATTTACCTTAAGAATTACATAATGAAAAGTACAAGTATGACTTTCCCTCTGTCCTTTTGTCCTCATCCTCTATCAAAACAATTCATCTGAAGTCATGAGTTTGATGAACTGATTAATGCAAGTCCAATATTCTCTGTTCTTTTAGCACAGATTAGTTAAGTTTAGTTTATTAGTTTATTAGAATCAGGTACAGTGTACAAAAAACCCATTAGTCTCAGAGGAGAAGAGATGCTTTGTACCAGATTTAGCTAATTAGCTAATTTCCATCTGTTGTCCCTGCTTTGGTCTCAACAAACTCCGGCGAGAACTCTTTAACTGCTTAATGCCTCACAATCTTCACCGACTAGATGCTTTCTTTGTGCAACTGTTGTTTATTACTACAAGAGAAGCAACAAGAGCAACAAAACCAAAACAACCGGCTGAAAGATCCTAAAATGAAATAGAGCTGTAGAGCTGAGTAGAACTGGAAAGTTTGGAAACTCCTTTTAAAGTGCACATTGACATATAGGTCTTATAAAACTATAATACAGCTTTAAAGTGACAAAAAAACACCTTAAAGCATATTTTACAAAATAGACTTTTTAATTGTATTTCAATGTGTATCCGTCTGTAGAGAAAAGTAAAATATAATAACACAGAACTCTGGTTTTTGAATGCATGCTTTGGGTGTTATTCTTACTCAGAGTCACAGTGTCATTGATGCGAAAGCTACAGAGAACCTTCTGAACATCTCGGGCGTGATAGAAACCATTTCCTCTGACAACCACCTGAAAGGATTCTGAAGAAGATAAAAAACAATAAGTGAACTTTGAAATCCCTTTTTCTTGTAGTAAGAACATGCATTGTTTTTTTTTGTTTTTTTTATCTTGTAGTTTAAAGAATGTTTTATATAGTATACAGCACAATATTTCCACGGTTTCTTTGCTTCTCTTTACCTCCTTCACAGATGCTGGAGGGCTCCACAGCCAAGATCTCAATGCATGATCTCTTCAGGATCTGAATTGATATAATCAATTTGAATTAAAGACACACTTTATTCAGTCAAAATATGAATTCTGTGATATCTAGGTGTCATGCATGTGTCTGTCATACCGAGTCGATGACCCCCTGCAGCGCCTGAAATCCGTCATTCACGGGAAACACATGGTCCTTACTGTCGGCTATTGTTGAAAGCTGTCAAGAAACATCACACAATGAGTTTATTCTTTCATTGTGTGTATGGTTATTTCATCATCTACTGGTTTGTTGGATAACTAAACGGTGGATTGGTTTACCTGGGTTTCATTGAAGTCCTTAACTCCCACACAGTACACTGTGGCCCCGAGCTGTCTGGCTCTGCCGGCCTGCGTTTAACACAAGGCAAAACAAACAATGAAAAAGCTTTAATGAAATGATGACTGCGCACCGGGAGGCTGTATTCTGGACAAACATTTTAAACTTCTTCAGCTGTGCCCATGTCTTGTTCTGTGATGTTGCTGCAACATTTTGCCCTCGACAGTTGCTGAAACGTCACAGAATGTTTTGTGTCCAATCACAACAAGCCCAAAATGTTTGAACCCAAAGAGTGCAATGACGCAAAGCCTTCCTGTTTCAAGTTATCCAGTTTCTATTCAAATGTCAAGTTCCCTTATTTTATATTATTTTCAAGCACAGTATGGTAAAGGACACAACAAGCATTTTTTAGTATTATTTATTTACCTTTTTTTTTTTTGTCAGGGGCAATACATTTAGACATTGTTACATCTCATTAAAGTGCAGCCGTTGCAATGTGCAGCCGATGCAATGTATAGAGGACGTCTAGCCATAATCTGCAGTCCTTGTCCCCGGTTAGGCATCACACATGATGCATTGTTTTGCCAGCTTTGGGAAGATTTTGAGTTTTGACTCATTAAAAGTGACTTACTATCATGTTATTAAACAGTTCACAACTCTACGTCACCTCTCTTTGTGCCATGTCAAACTGATTTTCTCTCAGTTCCCCGTCCGTCAGAGCGATGATAACACTTGCTGTCCGGTAACCTGAAAGTCAGAGTCAGATTGGAAAAAGCTGATAAAAGTAGAGACAAGTTCCCTTTCATCCATTTGAATTTCCCTCGGGATCAATAAAGTATCTATCTATTAAAATCCTTTTTTAATATAAAGTCAAAATCCACGTCCTACTTTGAAAAACATGTGAATGATTTTTCCACATGTTAGAGTGAGTTATGATGAATGGACAAAGAATACATCCCGAAAAAAAACACAAATGATTAGGTGTTAAAATGGAAAACGATCTACTCACCGTCTCCAGTGGCGTAGTAAATTTGCTCGCTGGCCTGAAACAGAAGATTTTAGAAGTCATACATTAAAAAAGGGCCTCATTATCGAGCGTTAAAATGCCATGCTGTTGCATAAGCAGGATCAGTTTCTCATTGATTTAACAGACGGCTTACTCTTTTTAAACCTTTGTCCATGTAAGTGTCTCCACCCGGCTGCACCCTACTGAGCTCCTCCAGTTTGGCTCGGATCTGCTCTCTGATCATTAAAGGACATCAGAGTTTAGAAATGAGATAGCACATATATTATCTTCAACTAAACAATCAAAAACAAAGTCAAAAGGCATTTTTTAGCGAAGCTGTTCACATGTTTACCTGTTTTCTGTTAGTGCCATTAAAGTCCTTCCTTCTGTGGAAAAAACTATAAAAGACATCCGCAGCTGAGGGCTAAAAAAAAAAAAAAACAGAAGAAAAAGAGTGTCAGGTTTCACACTCTATTGTTTTTTTCATCTGACTTTTTTCTTTGTGGACCCACCTGATAAACTTGTGAGCAAGGTGATCAACAAAGTAATAAATCTCATTCCAGTAATGCTGTACACTGCCAGACCTGGAGGAAGATTCAAGACAAACACAATAAATGAACATGCTGTTCAATGAAAATTGAAACAAACAATGAATCAAAACAATGAATAAAGTCAAATGATTTAGAATTGTATTTTCATGCAGTTTATGCAAAAACAAACCCATGGATCTGAAGTCTTTTTCACATCCTCAAAATACGTACGATACAAGAAAAAAAGAGGGAAAGCCCCTTTAATGCTTCAATTGCTGTTCAGGATTTTATTACAGAGTAATTATGGATGCATGAATTATTTTTATTATCAATAAATCCTTTTGATCTATAAAACAAGTACCAATAACCCAAATTGAAATTTTTCAAGTGCTTCACAACATTTAAAATAAACACAAAGCCCTGTTTACAACCATAGAAGACACAAACACCCAGAGCATGTTTACATTTGGCAGGAAGAACAGACTATTTATATTCTGTTTTTCTCTCATCATAAATCACAGCCTTTCATTCTTAACAAAATAACCAGATGTTAATCTTTGCTCCACTGTCATAAGACATTAAATAAAATATTAGAGTCTGATTAATAGCTTTCAAATGTAGCCTTTGATTACAATCACAATAGATACCAAAATAAAAGCTTTTGGTATCTAAAGGATTACATACAAATACATGCATATGAAACTGTTTTGTTGCTGTAAACATGCCATACACTGTCTACTCGACATCGTGAAACTACATGATGAGTGATTGAGTTTACGTCTGTGTGTTCTTCTGATTGCTATTGCTTAATGTTTTCATCTATGTGGTTGCGTTGCTCTCATTAAAATGCCAAACAAACACAGTGGTGCCATGTTTTGCAAACAAGTGCCGACTTAATCAAATAATTGTTATTATGATGTCAATTTAAAAGAACAAGTCCATCATTTCTGAGAACTTTGAGGCAAATACGCTCAACCTGCGCCGCCTCTTTCATGCTGTCTCTGTCTCTCTTCCTCACACTCCCTCATGTTTTCGTTTATCCCGTGATGTGAGCCTCAGCGCGCACACACACACACACACACACACACACACACACACACACACACACACACACAGCCAGGATCTGGGGATCTTTGGAACATCTGGCTCTAATGGAGAAAGGGTTCTGCAGAGTGGAGCACAGAGCTGAAGCTGGGACTATAGTTGAGAGCTCCTGTCAGCAAGACGTGGCCACAGTTTGACAACAGAAATCCCTGCTGAGTGCTTTATCATTTCAGTGAATGCAACACATCCATCATAGTGGAAACACACTATCTGTCCAGTCTGACCATGAAACAAAAACACGTCTTGGTCTTGATATGAACTGCTCAGAAGCTTTACGTTAGCTTCCTGACATGTTAATGGACGATGTAATGTAACCCTTCTGTCTGTGCTCACAGGACATTCAAATAATAAGAGGCTGTTGCTGTGTTTGGCTATTAAGAAAACAACATATTGCAAATAGAGATGAGGCAATAAACCAATTTATTAACAATACGTTTATATGTTTCTAAGATTAGTTGAGAAGTTTAGATTTTTCCACCAGGATTTGAATTTCTCTCTTTTATATCATTGTCAACTTAAAGTTTTGGGTTTTGAACTGTTGGTCGTATATCTGCGCCGGGCATTTTTACCTATATGTAAATGGGTAAAGCAAGAAAACAATCATCAATAATTCAAGTGGTTTATTCTTCAGTTTCAGATTTTTTGCTGTTGTATTCTATAAATGCAAAAGCTAATGGGGATTTAAATAAAAAACAAACAAACAAAACATGCCTCCATACTGTAAGCAGAAAGACAAAAAAAGAAAACAATACACATAACAATACAGAAATGGTTAGCTATCATCCAGTAGCACATATTTTTCATCCAAGTAGCAGCCCATTAATTACTGTGGAAATTACCTTTAATGATGTTTGCACCTGTGTTTTCAAAACAAGCTTACATGAGTCATGCATTGAACTTTTGAAATGGTTTCTGTGTTCTAATAAAAGTTGTACTCACTTGTCCAAAACAAAGAAAAGGTCAAATCCTCCGTAGCAGGACGACCCTGCCTCCCTCCTGTCATGGATCTGTCCAGCGCTGCCGGCCACCAGGACCATGACCAGCATGCCCAGCTCTACACCGAGCAGGACCTGCCTGCAGCACTGGGACATCACAACAAGTGTAAGAGAAAGCATCAGCACAACTAGAGAAAAAGTTTAAAACTCTCAATTTGGAGAGTTCCGTCTGCTTTCCCTCTCACAGCATACTGGTATCCTCAGCCATGCTGTGCAGAGTGATCTTTGAGGTTCCTCTTTGGATTAGTATTCCATCTCCTCAGCAGCAGATGTGTGCTGGCAAAAAAGGACTGAAGCTGGACTGAGTCTCCCTTTACCACTTTCTCTCTCTCTCTCTCCACACTTAATCATCTCAGCACACCGTGCCATGAGATCACATCAAACACTGCAAGAAAAAGTCTTGGAGAATGATTTTCTGTTTCTTTCTTTTGTCCGCAGAGCTTTGTTGTACCCCATGCTTTTTTTTTCTTCTTTAACTTTTCTGCAGGTTTAGTTGAGTCTACACCTTACCCGTTAGTGCCACTTAGTGGCAACACATGCACCGTGCATGTTCTGCAGTTTCTCAGCACTCAGCAGCTTTTTACCACGGTGAAAAAATACATGGGTTATTTCTACTTAATAAACGCTTGTTTGTTTGCTTTTTACAGGTGGATTATGAAGAAGGAAGGAAGGAAGATATCATTTACATCATAGATAAGTCTAAGACTAAGAGGTGATTATTTTTTCTCTGAGAGCCAGGTTGGCTGTTTACCTTTGCCTCCAATGTTTATACTAATAGGTAAATCGTCTTCTGGTCTATAAGCTATATTTACCAAATTGTTGGACTATTTTGTGCTCCTCCTTTTAGTTTTATTACATTAGGAGTTACTGACATTTCAGAACTGCATGATTTAAAGTTCAACATTAATTTGTTTCAAAAGTTATTTGGCATAAAGACAGTTACTGTCCTCACTCTCATGCTTTCTTCATTTTTCCATCTTTGGGAAATGTTTTGCTCACCTCACCAGCAGGTTCAGGGATTCTCCTTCCCTAACACTTTCCTTACACCAGGTTCCTTCTTTGCTCCCAGCTACTTATGTCTAGATAGTTTTTATATCTGTTCTTGCCAGAATGTAGTTATATATGTTTGTAAGCTGATGTGGTGTTTAAGCCATTTACAGATTCCTGTTTAGAGAACTGAATAAGTTAATGAGTGTGTGCCGACATCACTACTGATTTGTACTGATATGTGTTTAAACAGAAATAATACCACCAATGAGCTGTTGAAGCAAGACACATGTTTAACAACTTTTTTAACAGTTCACAAGAACATATGTATGATGTGCTACTTGTAAATGTATTCAACTGATGCCAAAAGTTAAATGAAATAAATCATTCACTCGTATGTGTCCTTTTAAATAAGAGGCCATAGCCAAGAGACAGATAGCTTAGCATAGCATTAACACTGAAAACAACTGGCTGGCTGTATTTAGAGGCTAAAACTTGGTTGTTCTTCATATTGTACCAATACAGTAAAGCGTTACATTTCATTGTAGGCTTGGATACCTTCAGACAGAACAATGCTAGCTCAATTTTTTTCTAAGCTTACTATCTGCTAGTGGTGGTTTCATAATTCAGGGCCGAGAGTTGTGTCCATTTTGTTATCTTACCCACAGCCAAACTTGGAACACGTTGGTTTTGTAGTAGCCTATACTACATTTCTTCCCAGATTTAGCCTACTTGTCTGGGAAGAAAGGTCAACTTTTGGGGGCCTCAGTTGTAGCTAGCGGTTAGCCATACAGGACTTCCAGTCAAGACTCCCATTTCCCATGTTGCTGTTCACTGTCAGACTTACAATGTGAGAGGAGAAAATTGAGCTTGCGTTAAGACAAGATGTGAAAGAGCAGTCTGTCAGCAGTACTCGCATGCAGATACCTACTGATAGAAATTATTCAAAGCTTAATGTTTGTCACATGATCATGATCTCGTCTCATCAGTTTTACTGCAAGAGCCCGCCAAAAACATGGACTCAAACATATACCATGAATACTTCCAACATCACGTTACATTCTTACGTTCTTTACTCATATACAGAGTCGTGCCATAAGTAGGCTATGGATTCACTCAGTACAAAACAATTGTTTCAAACAAGCTCTCCTTATGTTAGAAAAAATTACAAGGTTTAGATGTTAAGGTTTTGTTACTACTTTGAAATACAGGGGAAACAATGTATTCATGCTTTGACCTGGAGGTTTCATCAGAATAATAAGTCTACTTACTAACATTTTTGACAAGCTGTAAGTATAGGCTAATAACGGCTGCTGCAATACAGACAGCTCCTTTGATATGCTAAACCAACTAAAGCTTGAGTGACAGTAGCTTGGCATTTCACCCGAAAAAGAAAAAAAAAATCATGGCAGTTGTCCTTACCAGTAGGGCCAACATAAAAAAAAAAGAAACTCATAGAGCAGACTGAATCTTCTCTTGCCATCACTGCAAGGCAACTGTGTAGCAGTAAACAGCAGTAATGGGATTTGGCTTTTATGATACTTTAAAAATGAACACTTTACTAAATGTAAGTAGGCAATATAAAATGGAGCAGTTTCTGATTAGGTTTAAACGGATCCTATATGCATGGATGAGCTTGAGGGCAGCTGAGGATGACACTAAACTCAATTCACTCTTCAGGTAAGTGGAACATTTCTTCTAATAGTTGCTCTACTTCTTCACATTATGAGATATGTGTTTGGGGTGAAACTGCATATGATCTAATAGTACAAAAGCCAAAAAAAAACTGATAATAAGTTGTTGAATAAAGAGTCAGCAAATCTAGCTGTTCGTTTTCTTTTTCCTTTCTTTTTTTTTTTCTTTTTTTTGTTGGAAATCTTACAGTGAACATGATTTTTAAAGAACCATGCAAAAAAAAAAAAAAAACGAAGCTTTCGTGCGTCAAAATGCCCTGGTGATAAATTGAGATTGACGGAATGGATGAAAACACGCATTATGTAAACGTGTGTAACCCCTGGTACTGCAGGTGAAGTACCTCTCTGGCTGCAGATTCATGCATGTGTGCTCTGCTGTCACTGTGTGCGCTCTGCTCTCGCTCCTGTATGTCAGCGAATCACTGCTGCAGAATGGAGACGTGAGAAAAACAGCGTTGTGATTTATAAAATCACACCTCATCTATTCGAGGAACCTTTTTGCGCTCTTTTTCTCTGCCTACAAATATAATCGGTCACTAGCTTTACCTCTGTTAAATATTTGTTCAGAAGTTATGGACGTTATATTTGCGTACCTGCTGTGCGTCAGTCTGCGCGTTTCTCTGGCGGCTGAATGGGAGATTGTGGACACTAATATTTCCTTCCTTGGTGATGTAATCGACTACAAGGATCCATGTAAAGCTGGTCAGTGCTTTTTACCTCATACACGATTTTATTGGTCTTTTGCATTTCCTGTTGATAGGCTAGCCTGTATCTGTTTTTGAAAATACCAGCTCATAGGCCCAAGTCACTGTGAGGCTTAAACTTTTAAAGTTGTGTAAAACATGACTTTTAATGATGAAGATGAGGAATAAAGTTAAAACATAAATGCAAAGAAAATGCAAGGTTACCCTACAAATTGTCATCTTGTGTTTCATGTTTAACAATTCATTGACAGTTATTTTAGTGTTTCTGCTGCAAACGCATCAATTCGTATGAAAATGTCATTTTAACATGCTTTATGCGTTATAAAAATCAAATAAAAACAAGGAGGAAGTTTCATCTTCTTTTACTGTACTTATGTCAAAGACGCTATTCCACTTAATCACACAAAACTCCTTCACGAGTATTACCTCATACGAACACTTTAAGCAAAAATGTTACAAAGCCCTAAAATTTATAAAGTGACCCAGTCTGATAAAGTTTTGAATCTTGAATCTTTATCTACAGTACAAAGGTGTCAAATAAAAAAAAAGTTTAAAAAAGAACAGAATTTCACTCAAAAATGTAATAAAGTAGAAATATAAAGCATATTTAATATTGTTTTTATTTATTTTGCGTCATATCGTATAACATGCCAAACAGCTACTTTTGTTACTGGAGGCCCTCAGCTGGTTGGGGTCCCTTTTCACTTGTGACTTCCAAAACACACCACTCGTCTTCTCCGAGCAGTTGCCTGGAGACCAGAGGTCATTGAGGCTATGCCAGCTCAGTCCTCGGTTGGACGCCGGTGAAATCCCTCTGGCTGCAGGGCATGGGGTAAAAGCTGCAGGGGTGACAGTCATTTACAGTCACCCTTTGCATGAGTGAATTCACTTCAAAGGCCGGCACAGGCCCGCTACGCCTTTTCATTTTGACTTTCAAAGGCTGTTACATCACATGGCTAAATGAGGTATTAAATGGGAAAAACTCCAGAGAGCCGTTCTGCCTGACCAGTACAACATGAGATCCTGATTTGAATAGGAAGTAATGTCTTAATGATGGAAACAAATGTTAATCCCACAGTGGAGAGGCAAATTGACCAAATGTGTGTGATGTCACCTAAGTTTCAGAAGGGAGGTTTTAAAGCATGGATTTAAAGTTTAGTCAGTGACTCTTATTTGTTTTGTTTTCCTCTTGGAACAGAGGGGATTCATGGACCTGAAAACATCTGTAGTTTATTACTCAAATATTGTGCAAAAGAACTCAGCTGAATATTTTATAATAATAATAATAATAAAGTCCTAAAAGACTCAGCATGTCACAAAAGTCTAGAAGGATGCTTGGGTTATTCCCAGTCCCAAAATCTGCTGCCCAAAAGTTCTTAATTATTTTAGAAGTATTGAATCTGTTGTGATGAAAACTTTTGAGAAACTGGTAAGGTCTGAATTTGAGCATGACCTGCATGCAGTGTTTGCTTGTAGCAACTATACTTTCTATGTGTTTTTTTTTTTTTTATTCAGTTAGTTTGTGTGACAAAGGTCAAAATGGATCTTAAACCTTCATCTCATGCTACTGTTGGAAGATAAAGCTAGACCAGATGTAAAAAAAAAAGATAAATTCTGCTTAGTGGATAATACAACTCCAGATGTTAGGTCAAGTGATTGGGAAATTTTTACATTTTGTTCATTTAGTGAACAACAAAAGAGTTCCAACTAGAATAGAATAGATCTTTATTATCATTGCTATAAAAACAACGAAAAACAGTTTAGCATCTCTTGTTAGTGGCAACACATACAGACAGACAGGAATAATGATAATGTGAATGTAAAGAGAAACCTTAAAAGCACATCATAAAAACTAGAGTCAGAAACACTGAAGTCTATGAAAAAAAAAAGCTCTAAAGAAAAAAAGCTCCATATCAGACATCTATAGGTGACTCTCTAACAATGATTCAGTACAAAATGCTGATTGTGCCATGGGTCATCATTTCAGTAGCTATCCAGAAACATTGCAAAGTCCAGCACAGTGAGATCACCATAC